AGAATTTTTCTCCCAGAACTAAAGCAATGCACAATTGAGCAAGATCCAAAAGACAGTCTCTACTTTAACATCAAAGCATTATACACACAAACATATCCATGGGCAGATACAGTGACTGTGTGAATGACAGGTAAAGGGGGACAGCTTAGCACACTATTCCAAACTTGTGTGCAACACCAGTGGGAATGGATTCAGGACTGGCCCCCTTCAAACCATCTCTCTCAGCAGTATCTCACCACAGTGTTACCAGAGGCAGAAAATGCACTCCCCTGTAGAGGGGGTCTGCAGCAGGGCTTTTCCTCTTGCTTGATCCCAAACATTCACTCTGCAAGTGCCAAAATGGAAGGCATCTGCTATCTTTATGTGTCTCTTTTATGTATGTGTTTTGACACAACCAGTGACACCACTGAATCCCATTTTCTCCACAAGCCCTTGACTCTTGCCAGGATGGAGGACTCTCATTAAATGAGCTGTTAGACACTTTTGTTTTATTCTCATTGTTTCAAGCCTTATTTAATACCTACTAATCAGACTTTTCTCCAAATCAGATGTTAATTCCCCACTGAGAGGTCTATACCATATGTGCATTTTCCTGGACATGTGTCTTTCTCAGATCAAAATTTTGTCCAGGCAAAACAAAAACATTCCACAGCTTCCTGAGATTGCTGGACATATGCTCTCACATCATGGCAGCCCTGCAGTACTGCTGACTGGACAGCTGAACATCTGGAAAGGTCTGGACATAAGCTGATGAAGATTGGTTACTAACCCTGTTTCTCATTTTCTGTAAATCAGCTGTGCGTGATGTTGGGCATCCCGAAATGCAATGTAAGAGTTACAACTAATGTCACAAGACAGAGAGTCACACTGTTAGGCACCATCTTCTGAACACAGTGCTTATGACTGAGGTATGACTGCACATTCTCCACTTGTACAAGGCAGAGCCAGGATAACTCTCTGCCACTGCACAATCCCACAACAGGTCAATTGCCACAGAGAGCAAAGCAAGGAAGAGAAGTCCATTATTAAGAGGGTTTGATTTTTGTATTTATACACTTTTCATGTGCAACCAGTTCCATTATCAGAGTCTAAGTCATAAACTGAAGTTGTTTTTTTTTTCAAATTCCTCTTACTGCTTGCAAGTTTTTTGTTACAGTTAATTGAAAACTGCCCCTCTTAAGTTACAGCCATATCGGTTTTGTAAGCCAACTTTGATCAGTTTCAAATAGGTCTCTCTCCCTCAATTATGTCTTCATTTAAAATAGCACAATTATCTGATTTTCAGTCTTCTCTTCAAACTTAAAAATTGTTAAAACAGAGACATGTAACAATATGACAACGCTTTACCTGAGAAAGCATAAACAGCAACACTAACTGGAACATTGTCAGAGGAACAAAAAAAGTGTTTTTCCCCACATGACATGTGACTCCTACTAGAAGCCTACAGAATTCTATTTCTAACAGAAATACAGACTGTATTTTTTTACGTGCTTGATACATTTTATGTGATTTTTAAGAATAAGATATTAAAAATGCAATAATTAAAATAAATTAAATAAGTCTTTCCTGCTTTATTATAAAGATTATCTCTCGTTTTGGTGTTGGATGCAGAACAACTGATCTTCATTGCCAATAACTGTCTGTCCCTGTTCAGAAGCAATTGCTGATGCTGCAGACATTACGTTTGCATGACAAAACCAACATTTTAACTGATTATTGTCAGATAAAAAACAAACAAACAAAAGGCTTGCCAAGTTCCACAGCTAAATCCATCTTTCCCTGTTAACATGGCTTTGTTTGAACATGCAGCTGTAGTCCCATGGACTGGTGTGAAAACTAACAATCATGACTTCACAGGATCACAACTCCTGTTAAAAACATATCTATAAGTAAAGACACGGCTCAGTTCCAGCAGATTTGAATTTAAACTACATGTAAATGAATCAAAGATGAGAAATGTGTTATGCCAGTGCTGTTTTTTCTTTTTGCTGTGTGCATTAGCAGTGACAGGGCTGACTACAACAGCAGCAGCAGCAATAAAATAAAACACACACACACACACACACACACACACACACACACGCATATATGTATACCATGGTCCAGGAAACCCAGCACCAAGGGATCTTTTAATTCAGTCAACTGCTTTCTGCTAACTGGCTTTTGGCCTCTTGCATTGAAATTGTTTTGCAATAGCAGATATGGAGTTAATGGGGAAATGTGTATGGAAGTGGGAAGGAGAAGAAGCATGCATGCAGGCCTCAAACTATTTGTGTGCGCATTCTTAACTTGAAACAGAGAATTACTTTGAGTGCAAGTGAAAAAAATAATCTTCAAATGAAGTAAAGACATTCACCACAAGTTAAAAGTAAACTCATAAGAAAACACTAAATAGGTGGCCAGTCTTTTAATTAAAGATTAATTTAGAGATTTAAATTAGAGATTTCATTAGTTTGGTGAACCAAACAGAAAGCACCCTGGAGAATGAAATAGCCATTTGCAGAGCCTTTGAAGTACAGTTCTCTGAAGAAGCAGAAAGGAGAATCAGAGACGGCTGTGCCATTGGTAAAACTGAGTGTGAACCGTATCCTTCTCCAAGCACCTCATACACCAGTTTCAGACACATCCATATGGGCCCATCACCATCCTTGGGGTAATGAGGTGTTCATTAGCAAGGCTGGGTAGCGAAAAGAGCTAAAACAAATGCTGTGGGGCACTCTGGGGAGTGTAACTCCATACACACACGGGTCAGGCAGTGACAGGCTCACCAGCTTCTGCTCCATCTTAGCCCTCCTGGACCCTGACTGGCTGCTCACCTCTCTCCTCTCCAGCACAGCCTCCAGGGCTTCTGGCATTAGTAACAAATCAAACCCAGGCCCATGATCAGTCAACCCCTCCTCTGACAGGATGCAGGGCCCAGAGACCTGAAGGATTCTGTAGGGCCTGTCTGGAACTCAACAAAGTGGAACCCGGCCCGAGTCAATAATCCTTCTGGTCCTTTGTGGAGCCACTTGCTTCTCTGCATATCAGTGTGTAAGCACTTCTGGCACAGCAAACATGCCACCAAAGGCTCCCAAGATGGGTCTGCACAGAGCCAGCTCGGGTTCAGAGTGTTTCTTAGGTCGGGCTCTGTGCCAAGAAAGGCAGTGGAACTGCTCCTGCACCTGGCCCTGGATACTCCCATGTTCCCCCCGTACCAGACCACAGCCAGCTCCACAAAGAGTGGAGTGCTGTGCTGCTGCTGCTCCATTCCAGTTCAGGCAAGCTGCATTCCAGATAAGCTTTCCATGAATAATTGGAGGTTTAATACACTCACACAGGTGTTTATAACCCTGACTTTTGAGCTGAATACTTTTCCACCTCTTGAACTCCACTCTGAATTTCAAAGAATTGGCTCTTTAGGACTAAGGATTTGTATTACTTAAAAAGAATAGCATACATTTTTTTAAAATATATATTTATATGCATATTGCTGTTAGTGCTATAGACACCAAGTCTTCAGATTTCTCAGTTCATCCCCAGAAGAATCAGCTTTTTTTTAATTAATTAATTACAAAGAAAACCAGATAAAAGCCTATCTTTTTTTTTTTCTTGTATTCCGTTTATTTCACAGTCTTTTGATTGGGATTAGGTCAGGGCAGGAACTATTTTTCCCCATTACCTGCTCAAAAGCCCAAATCTCCAAGAGCCAGGCACCCTGGAAGCGCTCTGCAGCTGCAATGCTCCCTTCTGCAGTGTGGCAAGCAGCAGGACCTGAAAGAAGCTGAAGCCTGTCTAGGATACAGCTGACATAGGGGTGGGGGGGGAAGGAAGAAAAAGGAAACTGCTCAACAATCTGCAGCTGCAATCAAGCATTCATTGGAAAGAAACCTATCTCTGTGAAATGTGAAACTGTAGTAGGAATAGACATTCAATATTATTACACAAGGGAGTACTAATGCACTGATGCTTTTAAGATACAGATTTTCGGGAAGAAAAAATGACACCCCCTTATATACCAATCATAAACACGTGTATTTTAAGTATGATATATAGAAAAACTGTAATTTTATTCTCCCTCGTGACTGTTAGAGAACACAAGATAAAGAATAACACAGAACTGTCAGGAGAGGAAATGGAGAGAGAAAAGGGACAAATGCTGACATCATGACAGATTTTTTGGGGAAAAAAATAGAAATGTAGCAGAATAATTTTTAAAAAGTAACACTGTGTCCAGACCACCTACTGCAACAAGCTCATCAGAGCCCAAGCGTTGTAGAAGACGTGAAACTGGAAACCATAAATGCAAACTGGCTGGGGAAACTTTCCAGAGCTCCCTCTGACCATTGCCTCCTTGGTACCCATTCCCAGCCTCCGGGCTGCTCGGCCTTCTGCACAGCTCTCCGTCCATCTGCTCCACCACTCCTCCTCCAGCACATCTCCATCCATCCATCCATCCATCCATCCATCCATCCATCCATCCATCCTCCCATGTGCACCTTCCCTTGTATTCTTTCTCTCCCCCACAGGCATCCAGATGCCCCCAACCCATCCTCACCTCACGGTAGGCACCCACCCGTGTTTCTCCCGCACCCACCCCCCATTCACTGCCCTACCCCGCGCCTCCCCTCTGCAGCCGCACCGCCCCTGCGCCCACCCTTCCCGCCGGCCCTGCCGCACCGCCCCTCCCTCCAGCCCCTCCCGCCCCGGCAGCGGCACTGGGGCTCCTCTCCCTCGCTGTTCCGGGGCAGAGCCGCCTCAGCGCCCTCGTTCAGAGGGAACCTCCCGTCCCCATAGGGCTCCCCACCGCAGCACCTATCTCTCTCCCCCCCCCATCCGCCGAGAGCGCTGGGGGCTGTAGTTCCCTCCCGCCGCTTCTCCCGGCAGCCCCCAGCGCCCGGCGGGGGGGCGCGGACTACACTTCCCGGCACGCTCCGCGGGAGATGGGGGGCGCCCCCGCCCTCCTCCAGCCTCTACCGCTGCTTTCCCCCCCACCCCCGCCGCCTCTCTCGGCGTGGCGGGGTCCGAGCCGCCGCCGCCCGCCGCGGGCAGCAGCGCCGTGAGGGGCTGCCCCGTTCCCGGGCCCTGCCGTTACCTGGGAGAGCCGGGGGTGCGTGTCCGCGGGCGGGAGCGTCGCGGGGAGGGGGCGCAGCGCTGCGGCTCTGTCAGAGCGGGGCCGGGGGGGGAGAGGCGCGGGGGGGCGGGCGGAGAAGGGGGTGCGCGCGCGCGGCGACGGGCGGTTGCCATGGCGGCGGCGGCGGGCGCGGGGAGGGGACGGCACCGCCGCTCCGGCCTCCGGAGCGCCTCCGCCTCGTCCTGCCGGCGGGGAAAAGGGATTTTCCTAAAGGAAAGGAAAACGCCGCGGCACCGCCGGCGATGGCTGCGGGCGCCGCCGCCCAGCCCGCGTTTAGCAGCCCTGGGCAGGGCTCCGCGCTGAGCATCCCAGGCGGAGGCGGGCGGAGAGCGGCCCGCTCGCTGCGGGAGCTGGAGCGGCGCGGGGCCCGGCCGGGCAGCAGGGAGGGAGTGCCGGAGCCCAGCGGCCGGGCTGGCTGCTGAGCCCGCCGTGCTCTGCGCTGTGCTGCGCCGGGGCTCGGGGCGGGGAGGCTGAAAACACAGAGTCACGGGGTGCGTCAGGCTGGAAGGGACCCCAGTGCGGCATCTGGTCCAGACTCCCTGCTCCGGCAGGGCCGTGCCACAGCACATGGCGCAGGATTGCGTCCAGAGCCTTCCTGAATAGCTCTAGTGAGGGAGGCTCCACAAGCACTCTGGGCAATCTGTTCCATTGCACGGTCACTGCACAGTAAAGAAGTCCTTCCTCATGTTCAGCTGGAGCTTCCTGTGCATCAGTTTCTGCCCTTGCGTCGTGTCCTTGCAGCTGAAACCAGCGAGAAGAGCTCTGAATACACATCAGAGCTCATTCACGCTCTGAATGCAAACCTCGTGTACCTCCACCTCGTCTGTGGGAGTGTCTGGGAAATGCAGAGCATACGTTTGTCCTGTGTGGGCATGCAGAAGGGCACTGGACCATCTTTGTTCTAGCAGTGTAATACACTTTTATAGTACCATAAAGGAACAGATTTAGGGATTTGCCCTGTTCCTGTACCAAAGTGGTATTTGGCGATCAGAGGCAGTCTCACAGGGTGGCACCACCCAGTTTGTGTCACCTGAGGGTGAATGTTACCTAGCGTTTCTGAAACGTGCAGCTCACTCACTGTTAATACAAGCAGCCTGGTGCCCTGCAAGGGGAGCCATGCAGTTATAAACCTTTCTAAGGATGTAATTTCACGGTTAATGCAAGACAGCTTGTATCTGTATTGCCACCGAAAGGGGCAGTCCTGCGTTCCTCTCTGATCAAGGATATGCCTTCCTGTTTGTTATTTACACTGCAGTAACACTGTTGATGCCATCTGGCAAGGCAAGCCTGGGATCTGATCTGGTGGAGAGCCAGTTTGCTCCTCCAAAAAATTAACCGAGTTCAGCTGGAACTGAAAGTTCCCGAATTAGCTGAGTCTGTGGAGCTGCTGCAGGCACAAGGAAGGCAGAGGAGATGTGGAGGCAGGAGCAGCCCATTGAATCTGCAGCCCAGTGGAGCTGAGCTGTGTTTCTGTGTGCAGCTGCACCACTGCAGAGGGCCCTTACTGCTGAAACTGCCTTGTGACAGCTCTGAGAGTGTCCTAGTGATGATGATCTTGTGATCACACCTGATAGTAGCACACTATTTCTCCAGAAAATTTCTATTGTTGTTGTTTCTTTAAGGCATCAGCATGAGGTTGTATCTCACAATAAGGTTCTCAGAAATGCTAACTGACACAAGTGAAAGAGCAGGGATTGAAACTAAAAGCTCAGTATGCCTCTTAAACAATACAGCATGCATGAATGTGTCACTCATATATCTACAGATCTTGCTTCCCTCAAAATCATGTGGAGATTCTTATGTCTTTGTGAGGATTTTGGAACCGGGGCCAAAATCGTGATGAATTCATAACAGCTGCAACTCTGGCTTCCCCCTTTTCCAGATTTCTCCAAACTTGCCTGCCCATGACATCAATTCCTGCTGGTTTTTCACATACACAAAAGCATAGATGCTGTGCAGACCTTACAGAGTTCAGCCTTTCTAGGGGAGAGCAGATGATAAGCAGCCTCATCCCAGCACTTCCATAATATCCCTTTTCTCACAAGACTATGTACCTCTTACCACATTAGGCAACACGTGAAGTGCTTTGTCTGAGGATTGTGTCCCCCAGCTAGGAAATTGTGACCCAGAGAAGGCTGGTTATTTGGGTGTAATCTCCATTTGTCTGGTTGGGTTTTTTTTTCCCCCATCCCTTCTTCTAGAAACCATTGAGTCGAGCAGGGCTGCTTCTTAGTGGCAGAGGGTCCCCATGCTACAGCTGACCTCCCTTCTGAAAAGCACTTTTTCAACACCAGAACAATACCAGTGTCAACTTATTTTGACCACTCTGAGAGAAAGTTTGGTAAGCATGGGTCTCCACAGTTTGCCAAGATAGGCTGTGACTGTGTCAGCAGGAAGAACTGTGTCTTCAGGTTCCTGGCCACACACACTAGGTGTATAGGGTAATTCATGTTGGAGGGGACCTCAGAAGGTCATCTAGTCCAGCCAGACAGTCAGAAGTTCATAAACCTGTTAGTAAGACATAAGAATGATAACTTTAAGTGTGAAATTTCTTAGTCTTTCCTATTGCTGGGTCAAATTTGAGCAAATCTGGCTGGACTTCTGCAAAAGATACTGCTTCCCTGACCTCCTTACTGAAGGTTCCTGCCTTCACAGCAGGCCCTGAACTGAAAACCAGTAATGTTTTTAAGCCATTTTAATGCAAAATATGATGTTAAAGTCATTTTATTAGCAGTTTAGGCTAATTTGCAGGACCTTGTGTTGAAGCAGCTGGGACTAGTGTGTGTGTGTCTCATTCCACCAGCTCTGCTGTGAGGCAGTAATATCAGGCAAAGAGGAGGTAGGAAATTGCTGGGAGGGGAGGTGACACCTTAAGCCACTGAAGCTTGTTCTACTTTGAGCATATTCTCATGGCTCACAACTTCTTTATTTTTTGATAGAGGCTATAAACCTAGCAGTTCTGGATAAGAGGCTATAAACCTAGCAGCTCTGGATAAGACATGATGATGGTGGGTGTCAGTGAGTGTGGTTAGGCAGGATCCAGCTGTGTTGGTGGAGGAGAGCATTACTCACAGCCAGACCCCAGAGACTTATCATGGCCCTTTCCAGCAATCTGCAAATCTGCCAGCAGAGCTGATTGTGTGCCCGCTCGCTCTGATTTATTCTAGTCAGTTCAATCAGAAGCTGATAGAAATTAATGTAACTCTTTTGCCATGAACATTAGACTTGGTTCAGAAGTGTCTCTTCAGCTAGAGTAATTGCAGACACTGTCAGAGAAGTTTAAAGCTGTGCACTCTTAGGGTCTCTGACAGATTAACAAAACTGGTTTCTGAATTGATTTGGCTATCATTACATAAATTCCACTGACTAGAGGGCTGGCACAGGTTTTTAGCACAAAGTAGCAGAGAGCTTCATTTTTAACCTCCTCCCACCCACAAAGTTCTGCAAGGAGAAGGTTGAAATCATGTGAGAAGTCTATGAATTATGAACTGCCCTCTGCTTCTGTCTTCTCTTCCCGTTGCAATTATATTTAACTAGACTACAGGAATTATTGTGCCTTCATAATAAGCTTTAATGCTCAGATGCAAACATAACTCTATACCAAAGGTCTTACAGGCTATATGGAGAAATGCTGTAATAATGAAAAGGGAAAAACAATAGGGAAGCAGTAGGGAGAAGAAGGTGCATGTTGCATATTCATGGACATTACCCTTCCAAGGGAAGTTATGCACAAGTCAGTAAAGGCATCAGTAGACTGTTAATTTTCATTCACACATAGTAATTGTTCTTCTGCATAGATATTTTTATGGAATTATATTTACCACTATGACACATCCACCAATTTTTCTCCTAGAAAAGAACTTCAGAGTCTGAACCCTGAGAAAGATTTAGTCAACATCCTTCCCACAAGGCACATCTCAAAGTGCTGTGAATTGTTAATAGAGAACAGTGTAAGAGAAAGCAGTTGATTTTCAAACAGGATTGATTGCAATTAAGCCAGAAGGTAAGAGGTGGAGTAGACAAGGATGTTTTAATTTATCTGGTTAATGTAGACATCTGTCATGTAGACTTTTGTCTCTGAGTTAAGACTTTGGGGATACAATTCCTGCTTCAACCAAAGTGGATTGTGCCTTGAATGTGCTTAATTTTTTTCCAGTGCTTATAACAGACTCATCTGATCAACATAAATGTGTTTGCACTGTAGATGTCTAAAGGTAGGTGACAGGAGTCCCACCCAATTGGGTTGTTAGAGCCCTAGAGAGGGAAAGCTGTCATGGCAGTTTTAAGTTGGTTGATTAAAATGATGAAGAACAGGCCAGTGTTACTTTAATGGAAATCACAGATGGAAGAGAAGACAGATCTTTGAGGTGAGTTGAAACAAGCCCACAGTACACTGGGAAAACAACCCACCTGTTCTGCTTTGAGTCTGTGGACAGAAATTAGAAAAATAAACTAGGAACTAGGATATTGTGTTTCTTTTATGAGTATACTTAATATGTTGGAGTATTACTTTTTGGAGAGGAATAAGAAAGGAGTTTACAGGAGTCAAAACAAAGAGAGAGGAAACTTGCACAGAAACCTCAGAGAAAGTAGTCATGCCCAAGGAGCTGGATGTCAGCAACTGTTCAGTGAAAACCTGGACCAGGAAAGAAAGTTTATTCACACCATCTCAACTTTGTGGCAGACCACTAGACAGTATCAAGTGGCAAAGTTCCCTTAATCCGTCTGCTGGGGTTGAGAGCTGAGAGAAAATCTCTCGTGATGTGCTTTTGTTTGGTGGTACAACTCTTTCATGGTAAAATGTGAACTTTAAGCTGTTTTTTAAAGATGTGACATTCTGGAGTTTCACTGTCTGGAGCTTCACTGTCTGGAGTTTCACTGTCTGTCCCACTGCAATAAGTTTGAGCCTCACTGCTCAGTTTCTGCCCTATTTGCAGAAGGATGGAGGTGTAACCAAGGTCCTTTTTGTTTTGTAG